ATTTTATAGTGAAAGGATTAGCTGAAGCTTTTTCTAAACTAAATTAAGGGCTTCAGTTGCTTGAAAACATGGACCCAAATGCTGATCACAGCACTAAAGTCAATACCAGATTCAGGGAACAGTGAGGTGTTACTGCAAAATATTTGAAGACAAAAAGAAAAGAGCCATACAGGTAACTCTCACTAATTTTCTGACTAGAAACGCCATCCCCATTCCCAGAGATAATCCAGGTAATCCAGAACCTTCCACCAGTGGAGTTACTACGGCAACTGATAAAATGCCAACGTTGTCCAACTCTACTTCATCATCAGAGTACATTTTTATGATTTGTGTATTTTTTTAAGTAGGTATGGATATGTGTCTTAAAATAGATCTGTAAGTTTATATGTAATATTTCTAACCCCCAAATAAAAATCAGATTTATAAAAATACTGATAATGAAAGGCAATAATAATGAAAACTAAAAAAAAGTGAGGTATTCGATTTACATCAAAATTGACTTATGACAGAGTCCTTGGAAAGGAAGCAGGTATTCAGTCAGGGACTACTTGTACTCCCCCAATTGATTACAGATATGATGCAATCCCTAATAAAACTTCCATTGCCTTTTATAAAGAAATGGATGAGATATTCATATGGAAATGTGTGAAAGCAGTGGTCTGTGGCCTCGCCTGAGTACCAAACTGTCACTCACAGCAGCATTCTGACCTCCACGGAGGTAGTTTAAAATTAAACAGTACTTGGAAGTAATCCATTTTTAGGTCTAACATTCATTGTTGAATTAACCTTTTTTTTTTTTTTTTAACGACAAACAATCAACACAGAGAAGACACTTGTTAAGCTTCTTTAAACTGTCCAGTAGGAATGAGCACGGGGAGGTCAACATAAAGAAGACAAAGAATACATTCTGGAAGCTACCTACCATTACGGCTCCATTATCCTGGCCCACAAAAATCCGTCTACTCTCATGATGGTAAGCCATAGCAGAGCAAGGAGCTGCCAGAAAGACAAAGACCACATTAAGAGCAAAGCTAAGCATTTTAAGTCATTGTTCCAAGTATATTCTAAAAAAGAGTTGCACAACTTAGGTTTAAAAAAGAGAAAAAATGTGTATGTGTGTGCTTTTTAAAGAATGGCATAAACTGAAGTGTTATTAAAATTCTGTCTGTGTCTTAGCTAAAACATACTAATATTGAAAACCTTCTAAATTACTTTTTTTTGTAATTTTGAATGCAGTAAGCCATCTTGAAGTTTCATCTGATTCGAGCTCCTACCTTGAGCCTGGAAAAGTTCAGGGACTGGCACTTAGAGTGGCAGAGCTGCTACCTAAATGCTCAGCAGGTCATCTTGTCCCCGCCATTCTTTCCCATCAAAGGTAAAAGAACAGCTGAAGTCACTGGAAAGTGGAGTTCTCGGGATCACGGTTCCCAATCTACGACATGTGTAAGCCAGAGGGACAGGTGGGAAAGGCACTTTGGATTACTTTATTTCCCCAATGGTAAAAAAATTGCTCCCTTCTGCAATGACACACACAACCCATTTTGAAGTAAGCTCAGCTGTGAGGTGTAGGTATGTTTCTTGGTTGACAGCAGTGTATGGGACTAGGATAGTGCCTGCTGCTTCTCCCGCACACACTCCCTTCAACGTTCTACCTACAGTTCTTCCAAAAATCATGGGCAAGAGAATGATTTCCAGAAAGGAGAGAAGCTAAGTCATCTCCTTCCAATAAAAATAAGAATTAATGTGATTTAGAAAATGGAGCATTTGGAAAAAGAAGTGTTTGGGTACATTTTGGCCTTAAGAATTTTAGTTGACCATGGAAGAACCACAACAAGTAAACACATGCCAGGAAAAAACACTTGAGTATACTTTGACATAAAAAGCCTAAGAAAGTAACAGGAAATAAAGCTTATACATGAAGTCACCATTCGAAAATAATTCAAATAGTTGAGCCATTTATTAAAGTTCTCTGGACACTGGGCTGATATTCACTACTAACAGAAGAAAGTCAGCTACAAAGGCTGCTGGATTGTACCCAAAACACAGCTGGGGCAGGATCAGACAATAGAGCGATGTTTCAGTGCACTGTAACGCAGGTACCCAGAGTAATCATCTGTATAGAGACCAATCAGAACTGACTACAAGCCTGAACCCCCTATGCACCAGAGTGATGTTCGAGATTATAAAAGCACGATCGTGTTCAAGAATTACAACCACGAAAATATATACAACTTCATGTAATCAAAGTGCTCGTTAATAACCATGCATGCCAATTATCTCTGACAAAACGAATCATGGTTTGATGATTTCAAATACTCGTTCTCAACATTTTTGCTTAGTTTTCAGTTAGTACTAAATCTCCATGCATTCATTTTAAGATTCCCTTACCAAGAAAGAAAACTTTTCAATTCTTATTCTCAATTCTTTAACAAAAAAATATGTAAAAGTTCCTCTTTTGTTTAAAAATTGCAATGTCCTGAAAAATTTCATGAGGCTACATTTTTAAAAAGAAGAAAAAAGGCTTCCCTAGTTTATTTATTTTGTATATAAAGATGTTCTGGCTTTTTTTCTAAAAGGGAAACTTCTCATGACATAAGCAATGTCATTTTTTTCAAAATAAAAGGTGCTGGATATTCATGTAGTTTTATAAATAAGCAAAAAAAAAAAAAAAAACTTTCACAACTAAGTAAAAAAGTATCACAACTAAGAGCTGCCATTTTCTGTCAAGCTTCTCAAAGTTATTTTTGTCATATGACATCATGTCATGAAACATAATTGGACTGTGTGTAGCAATATACTAGAGTTTGGCTTATTGATTGATTAGGTGACTGGAACAAAGTTTAAATTGCCACATGACCACTGGGAAGTCCTAAGTTGGGTCATCTGCTGATAGTTCTAGAACCAACATGGCACTTTTCCTCTCATGTTTTGTTTTTAATTTTGAAATAGAACCATCACCCTAACTAACAGATGAGCACTTCACTCTCCCTCATAATTCACCCACTATTCTTCTGACAGGGCCTTACAATTTCATCAGGAGACATAGCACCGGGCGGAGGCAATAAAGCAGTATCTGGAAGCAACAGGATGAACATGTGGAGGTAAAACACGCAGACGTCAGCCAACTGCAACAGAGGCCACTCCAGCCCAGATGCGAGCCACTCAGGAGGGGAGAGTGAAGTCCAGGTTAGCAAGGGATGGGAGCGGGCAGACACCCAGAGCCAGGCGCCTAAGATCTAAAAGCTAAGAGAGAAGCTGAGAGAGAGAGAGCACCCACTTTAAGTCCAGTTTCCAACTGCTAGGGTTTTGGTGCCCTGGGAGAGTGGTTAATTACAAAGCTCTTCTACACACTTGTGGAAAATACAAGCCGGAGAGTTACTGAGACTAAACACAGGACAAAGTCCATTTCAGTCTCCCTCAGTCTATCTCTGTCTCTCTGTTCTGTTATTGGCTGCCATTGAATCAATTCCAACTCATAGTGGCCACATGTGACAGAGCAGAACTGCCCCATAGGGTTTTCTAGACTGTAATCTTCACGCAAGTAGATTGCCAGGTTTCTCTTCTGTGGAACCACTGCATGGGTTCGAATTTCCAACCTTCTGGTTAGCAGCAGAGTGCTTAACCGTTGTGCCACCAGGGCTCCTTCTGTCTCTTCTATAGAGAATGAACTCCAAGGATGAAGCCTCCAAGACATTAAGCTGCGGCCACAACATGAAGAGTGGAGGAAAGGGGAGTGGGAGGGTGGCAGCAACGGCATTAGTAGTAACTGGGAGGGTGGCAGCAATGGCATTAGTAGGAACAAGATTTTCCACACAGAGGACAAAACATCCCCAGCACCGGTGGGAGTTCCTCAAGCTGCTGCTCCTTCCAGCCATCAGGGCTGTCAGCACTGGGACGCTGACGTGAGGAGTCACCAGCCCAACAAGAATCCTATCTTCCCTGCGTACTACTTCTGCCTCGTTCCAAAATTCAGTTATTTATCAAGCAGCATCCTCAGACACCTTTTCTAAGGCACTGGTCACTTTATGTTTCAGAACAAGAAACCATGGTTATTCGTACACATGCAGACATGGGTAACACGGAAGTACAAGTGCTTGGGACAGGAAGTTGTGATCAGGTTTCCTTCTAATCTGTATTTTGTGAAGTTCTATGGGTCTTTTTGTAATATTTATCTCTATATACTAATATTCTAAGAAGCCTATTTCATTCTCTTGAATGATTATCAAGACAAAGGAAAAAGCCTGGTCTGCCCAAGCCGTCCGTGGGAGGTAGAACACATGACAATTCCGATAAACTATGTCGTTGTGACAGTGCTTTCTGGATCCAAGCACGGCACTGGGATCTAAGTGCAGATGAGAAAACGCTAACCTAGAGGGAGGTGCTTGGAATGATGGCGCAAACCAATTATCTGGAATTTGTTGAGTAATTGGATGTTCTGTGTTTATAACAATCTCTCTAGTCTCTGGGAAAAACTCTTAAGAAAGCCATGAACTGTGTCAACATATCTGAAATATCTGCCAAGAGTTATTCTCTGGAAAACTTTATAAAACTCTGCAGTAACACGCCAGCAAGCCTGCTTTCGTTCCCTCAAGGGCCTCTGAAGTCCTTTGGTGAGGAGAGTCCCTCATCAAGCACCCAAAGTACAAGAAGTAGGTCAGCAGCCATGGAAGCCCCCCACACGGCAATGTGGAGAGCAGGGATCAACCCAAGCTTGGCTGGTGTGAAATCCAGGCGCCCTCCGCAAGGCTGAAGGGGCCCAAGCTGAGGATGGGTGTGGGCCCAGAGCGCAGGATGGGCATTTCAAGGAAAGCAGTGGGAGGGAAGGGTGCCAGTACTACCTAGAGTTTAAATGTAATGTTATGTCACGTGGGGTGTCACAAAACAGCCCAGGGCTGTTTCAAAAGCTCAATGCAGAAACTTTATCTTGTAGATTTAGTTTTAGAACTTGACTACTGAGAAAATTCTCTATTTAGAAGGAGTTGCGCCTTGCACCATATCTCTCAATAGTATCCAGAAGTCTGTTAAAAGGCTGAGAGAGATTATGTATGGTTAATGCTGGTTTCACGCTATGGGAGTGTACAAGTACTCTTTCTTAGTGCCCAGCTCAGCTATTACTAATTATAAAGGTACTTAGTACTTAATATATTACTACTAATAGAGTTGGCCAAATAACCAATTCAAAAATATGAAATAAAGACAAAAGAAAACTAGGGAGGAAGCAAACAAGCTCCTTTTCCTCTCTTTTTCTTGCCCTTCAGTTTGCTCCAAGGAGCTCTGGTGGCATAGGGGTAAGGCAATTGGCTGTTAACCAGAAGGTCCAAACCCACCAGCTGCTCCACAGGGAGAAGATGAGGCAATCTACTTCTGTCAACATTTACAGCCCTGGAAACCCAACGGGGGTCGCTATGAGTCAGAGTCAACCTGATGGCAGTGGCTTTGTTTGGTTTGGTTTTTCAGTTTGCTCAAGTGCACTTCAATTAGACCAGTATGACCCAACTTCCTGTGCAAATGAAAAGCAGTTTTCCTGCAGTTTACCACAGCCTGTGAGAAAATTAAGCAACTCAGAAACTCATTCTGAAATTAAGCAGCATTATTTCATAAGATACTTTGGAATTTAAACCAACAAAGGCACTTTTCTCTAGTGGAACAGTTCATACTTACAGGCCATTGTGTGGTAAATGCTGGGCCAATACTGACCACTGTCTCTTTTCAGCCATACCCGGATGGTTCTGTGGAAAAAGAGAAAAGAGTTGTCTTACTAATTTTGTCTTCCTTTGTGCATGAGGAAAAGTATTATTATTTTTTACAATGTTCAATACTTTTTCCCAACTGACCTTATAATCAACAGGACAGTATCTTCAGAGATACCACATGAGCTAGCCATTTTGCCAGTAAAGCAACTGCGAGAGGAAATTCACTTGAAGATGCCTGGCCCTCTCATAAAGTGTTGTTGGAATATAAATTAGTGCATTTTTCTGAACAGCAAGTTAATAACATATATTAAATTAATTTATACATATATATACCATATATTTAACATATAATACTGGCCTAGTAGTTGTCCTTTTAGGGATGTATGTCAAAGAAATAAAGATTTATATATAAAGAGGTTCATTATAAAGCTAGTTTAATAGCAAAAGCACATAAGTAACATAAATGTTTCAAACTATGTTATGACCATATATGGTCATACATGTATGGCCATATATGACCACAAGTTAGCATTTCAAATAATTTTTAATAACATAGAAAATGCTTATCATATAATGATATGTAAAGAAAACTAAGATTAACTGTTTTTCTTGGTAAAAACAAACCAGGTAGCTCGACTGAGCCAAATGAGGAATGCGGTGGATATAAACAGAAAGAAAATGCTCAACGGCAACCAGGAGCAAAAGGAAGAGCAATGCTGATTCAAAGCAGTATCCACTCTGTTTCTCATTCACCAATAACCGTCTGTCTTCATAACCCCAGGGAGGAAATCATTCCACACCACACCTCAGGGCCTCTATGTTCATGAGAACACACAGAGGGAGATGAGGAAATCCTGTCTACGGGCAGGAAAATGACCAACGACCAACGCAGCCAAAGTTGAATGTTCTGTTTTATTACTTCAGAGAAACAATAAAAACACTGTGACTTCTCTTCTCCGCACACAGAGCCTTCTCGAAGCTCCAGGCCTCCTCCTCTTCTAAATCCCCAAGATGCTGACTCTCTCCTGGTTCTCACTGTGTCTTGCTGTGTACAATCATATATACCTAGTTTATTGTCCCCGAGGGTCAGCTCTGTCACACCTATTTCTGTATTTCTAACAACAGCATAGATTCTGGCACGCAGCAGGTGTTGAATGAATGTTTACAACCTTAAACTAAAACACGTCAAGACTACCATATTATATTATTAGTGGAGGAATAATAGGGATAAAGGATAGTGAGAATGGTCGCACACTTAAAAGCACTCAATGTCACTGCATTGTGCAAGTAGAAATGATTCAATCAGCATGTTTTGCTGTGTATATTTCTCTCCCACAAAAGATAAATGGCAACATAAATTTAAAAAAAAAAAAAAAAACTGAGAGTAAATGTTGAAAGAAGAGTAAAGGAACTCAAAGACACAGAAAACAGTCCAAAGGACTAATGGAAAATGCCAACCCCAGCTTCCATGACCCTGAGACCTGAAGAACTAGATGGTGCCCAGCTACCAGTGCTGACCACTCTGAAAGGGATCACAAGAAGAGGTGTAGGATCGAGTGGGAGAAAATGTGGAACAAAGCTCAGTCATAAAAAAGATGATGCTTACTAGTTGATGAAGACGGTAGAACTCCTAAGACTGGTCCTGTGTCATCCTCACAATCGTTGCCATGGTTGAGCCCATTGCTGCAACCACTGGGTCAATCCATGTCATTCAGGGACTTCCTCTCTCTCACTGACCCCCTACTTTACCAAGCATGATATCCTTCTCCAGGGACCAGTCCTTCCTGATAACAAATCCAAAGTACGTGAGATGACGTCTTGCCCTCCTTGCCTCTAAGGAGCATTTGGGCGATACTTCTTTCAAGGCAGATGTGTTGGTTCTTCTGGTAGTCCAAGGCAGAGTCAATATTCTTTCCCAAAATCATATATGTGATTATATGATATCACATATAATGTGATTAGGACACAGTTAAAAGAAAATAAAGACTAGATGTTGGCCTCCCTTCATCCAACATAAATAAGATGAGTTAGCACCCCAGTGAGCATAAAGAGATTCTGTATGTGAACTGGACACGAGCTAGTTACCCTAGGTTAGGAGCAGCCACTATATACAATGCACCCTTGCCCTGTTTTCCAGTCACTGTTGGAAACCCCTTTTTCAAACCATACCCTTCTTCTTGCTTACAGACTGCTACAATCTTCTACTTCCAAGATTAAATCAAACCAATGTTACGTTTAACCCCTAACACTCCAGCACTCCCAAGACTTTATGAATTACACAGAGTTGCGTAATTTCTACTAGCCATAGCGGAATTGTTTTGTGTCATGTTCAGAACATTTCTCACTGATTTAAGCTTCGACTTGGGCTGCTTATTACAAAATCAATAAATTAAATAAATAAAACTTACTATTCAGTAAATTGGAAGCAAAATCTATTCAGTAAACCGAGAGCAAATACCCTAATATAATTAGTAACATTTTATAGACAAACTATTGAACACACCAAGATGACATCAATAAACCATCTAATTGCTGGCCAGTCAAGATCAGATGGTTTTATTTTTACATAAACCACAATGTTTTCTGCCTACATGAATGTCTGAGCTGCTGTTTCCACTGATGTAAAATGAAACAGCTTAGATTTTTCTTTAATATTTTGACAACTTCCCACCCACTCACCTAAACTCACTTTATGTTTCTCCTGCTGCTTATTCTACCCATTTTTCAAACAGTTGGATTTATTTATTTATTTTTTTGAAATTCTGAGACAATGTCAATCTGGGGGAAAAAAAGATAAACTTTCCTTAAAATCAAAACCTTAGAAATATGTTCATTTTTTTGCCAAGCTCTATTTTTAAGTTATTTCAAAACAATGTCTGATATTTTTCCAAAAGATACTTAAGAAAGGAAATGTATCATTTCTTTTTAAACCTCCCCCATGCTATTATCCCTGTGGAAGAGTTCAACCATTTGCCCTTCTAGTTAGAGAAGCACTGTTGTACACAAGGCTATGACACTCCCCATGGGTAGATTAGAAGAGGTATCTCCACATAAGCCTGTATT